AGCCAAGGGCCAAAAAGTCAGCAACGTGTCGGTCTGCCACAAAAACAAAAACGCGCCAAAAACAAAAACTAAAACCTGAAGCAAATTTCAGCTAAAATAGAAGCGTTAAAATATTGCCAACATTTCCGCGCTTTTAAAAATTGGCGGCGGGGAGCGAGGTTAGTGGGGAAAAAATAAAAACATGACCGGTTGGAAAGTTGGGTCGGCCGCCTTTGGAGGACCAGGCCAGGAGCAGCTGATCCTATCCAAAGCTTTTAGCCCCAAATACATCGGTGACTTGGAGCGGAAATTATGTAAATTTAAGTGTTTTTGCCCGCTTTTGAGCAATGAAAACATGAAAGCAAAAATCTACACAGACCACTAAAAAAAAAGCGAGAGATATGCCAACAAATAACCAATAAAAAGCAACAAGCAACGAGCGACTGGGATGGCGGGCATGACGGCCAAAAAGAAAACAGCATAAAGTTGTGCTTGGGAAAATTTCCCACACTTGTACGCCGGAGTTGAGTTTTCCGGGAGGGACTTTGTAGGCGGAGCTGGGCCACCCAATCCTGGCAACAAAGTTTTCGTAATTGTTTTTGCATTTTGCGGCGCACACATTCGGGCCAGCGGAATAGGGGGCCCAAATGTGTCCTTTGGTGTATTAAAAAGTTTTCTTTTTTTGTTTGGCCAAAAGCGAAATCGGAAGTCAGGCAGGAGGCTGGGCAAACATTGGCGCTCATGGGTTCGCAGTTCTTGGGACGTGGGCTGTGGGCTGTGGGCCGTGGTCCATTGCCCATTAACATTTTATATGCAATTATGATTATTTTACCTTTGTGCATTTGCGGTAATCTTTGGGGAGCGACCGTTGAAAGTTGAGCTGGCCAGGCCAACGGAAAATTTAATGGGCTTCAGACGCTCCAGACTGGACTGGAAGGCAAGGACGGGCGGGATTCAAATCGATAAATGTTTAAGTGGGTGGCAGGTGGCACTAGCTGCGAATGCCACAGCAGTTGAAGCCACATGTTGCAGCCAATTAATTGAATTGGTAAGGAATTTAATTTCATTATGCCGTGATTAAAATTGTACGGCTATTTATTGGTAATTTCGAAAAGTATTTTTGCAAATTGCATCCCAACGGAGGTAACAATGAATGAGCATGGAAATTGTCATTTAAAGTATTTAAAATTTCATAAGCATTTTATTTACTCATTGTTTTGTTGACTATTTGATGTAAAATGTAATTTTGTCTTTTCAAAAGGACCTGGCTATTACCTGCTCAACCTGATCCCCCAAAGTGTCCCTTTCGATTCCATTTCTGTCCTTCTAGAGGCCAAACAACGGATGTCCCTTTGCCAACCAGACTGACTGCAAGCAGCAGCCATTCTGTGGTCATTAGCCCAAACCAAACTTGACTTCTACTCTGGCCTCAGATTTTCTGCAAAATTTGCAAAAAAAAAGAAAGAAAATGAAAATGAAAAGACAGTACAAGGACCATGAAGGGGTAAAAATGTATCCACAAAATGCGACGGGGACACAAATCTTCTTTATTGCTTGCTACGTTTGCATGCCCAGCCTGACTTCTAAACATGAAAAAAATTTTAATAATTTATATTTTCCAAATATTTAAATAACAAGAGGCTATAAATTTCCTTTAAATATTTCATTGAATTGTAAAAAGAAGCCTAAAAAATACTTTTCTTTAGCTTAATACCTATTAAATTTCCTTTCAGTGCACTGTATGTGTTTTGTTGTCCTGGCCCAGTGTCTGAGCATGGACTTTGACATGAGGACATTAGGCTGGGTCCTGGACAAACAACTAATGGCCTTTCGAGGGCATTTTCCCTGGTCACAGGTGCTCGGGCCCTGGCTTAGGTACCTTCGACCAGGTTGTTTTAAATTAAAAATCTATACGAACACAAAACAGGCAAACATAACGAGCCCAACATGCTAAATATTCGTAACATGCTGTTGCAGAATTTTTTATGATTTATGCTTCGGTTGTATCCAATAATTTTATTGGTTTTGTGGCTGATGCTGCTGGTGCTGCTGCATTTAGAATATTGCTTATACGCCGCATTGCCCGGCCAGGCCAAAGCTCAGTGTCCACATGACCGAACACCCTCTAATGCTGACTTGATTATCAACACCCGCTGCACATCACCACACTCCAGCATCTTGCAACTGATGCAGATCCCAGCAGCTGGCATCTGACAGCTGATGATGTTGCACATTTGCCGCTAGTCGGTGAGTTTTTGGCTCCACGTGCCACCAACTCAACTCTCGTCGCTTGCCATGACCAGACTGATTATGCAAAGCAGTGTCTCAAGCTCCGGAATTAGGATGAACTGATACGTAAGTACACTGAAAATGCGGGTACATAATTTAAAAAAAATTTTGTTACATTGTTTGTCATTTTGGAGGTGTTTTGAGGTGCATACCCAAAGCAATGACTGTATTTTGGTCCTAGAAATGTATCTAGAAACAATTTTTGTTCTAAATTTTTTGTCAAATTTTCTGGATGATCCCCTTCCAGAATTGGGGAAACTACATGGGAGGCCTATATGGCCCACAGCGATGACTGTATCTTTGCCAATTTTTATCCGATTCTTAAGCGGAATACCTTAAACGATTTCTGGATCGATTCTCCATCAATCTGCATCACAATCTAGAAACAAATTATTTTTTGAATTTTTTGTCAAATTTTCTGGATGATCCCCTTCCGGAAATTGGGAAAATGCATGAGAGGCCCAAATGGCCCACAGATATGACAGTATCTTACCCAATTTTTATCCGATTCTTACACGGAATACCTTAAATGATTTCTGGATCGATTCTCCATCAATCTGCATCAAAATCTAGAAACATATTTTTTTTTAGATTTTTTGTCAAATTTTCTGGACGATCCCCTTCCAGAATTGGGGAAAATGTGGAAAATGCATGGATGGCCCAAATGGCCCACAGCGATGACTGTATCTTTGCCAATTTTTATCCGATTCTTAGGATCGATTCACCATCAATCTGCATCAAAATCTAAAAAACAAATTATTTTTTGGATTTTTTGTCAAATTTTCTGGATGATCTTCCCTTCCGAATTGGCGAAAATGCATGGATGGCCCAAATGGCCTACAGCGATGACCGTATCTTGGCCAATTTTTATCCGATTCCTAAGCGGAATTTCTTAAACGATTTCTGGATCGATTCTCCATCAATCTGCATCAAAATCTAGAAACAAATTATTTTTTAGATTTTTTGTCAAATTTTCTGGATGACCCCCTTCTAGAATTGGGGGAAATGCATGGAAGGCCCAAATGGCGTACAGGGATGACCGTATCTTGGCCAATTTTTATCCGATTCCTAAGCGGAATACCTTAAACGATTTCTAAATCGTTTCTCGATTTTTATCCTTTAAAATTTACCTAATTATATAAAACCCAAAATCTTTCTCTTTAAGAATAAAAAATGCACTTCCTCTTGCTATCTTTGCTCACGTGTGTTTTTGAGCGTTTTGTGTTTGCACTTATGATAATTTTGAAGTAATTTTCGGTGCCCTTAGTATGAGGCGAGTCCTGCTGCACTTACATACTTACCTTATCAGGAGACACAGGCTGGGAGCTGGTGCTGGAGCATCAGGAACTGCGGGAGCCACTATCAGGTAGTGCGGCAACTCTGCGCAGCCAAGTGGTAAAAAGTATTCACATTAATTCAAGCAAAAATAAATTATAAAGGCAAAGGGCCATCCCTGACGCCAGCCCCTTTCCCGTGGCGCCTCCCCCATCTTTCGGCGACTTTTAGCTGCGTTGTGCATTTTATGACGTTTAATGTGTTTCTGCTGTCAGCAGCAGAAGTTGCTGCCACTGCCGCTGCCGCTGCTGCTTCTGCTGCCGTTGCATCTACAGTCGCTGTCGGCGTCGACGTAGATGCAACTTTTTTGTGCCGCCGCGTTGAGTGCATTTTGTTGATTTATAATAAAATAATGTAAAAATATTACACAATAATGAATGCGCGCGGGGTGGCAGAGGGGCGGACGGCTGTCCTTTTCGCGCCTTCTTGCTCTGTCTCTTTCTTTGGCCTTCTTTTCGGGATGAAATATGAAACAAGGAAATGCTCGAGGTGGAAAAAGTTTCAGCCAAGAATATGAAATATGCGAGAAATAAAACTTTTAACTAAAATTATATATGTATGTATGTATATCGCCTATACATATATATCCGCTGGCATATGTTGGTGTTGGTGTGTTTGTGTCTTTGTATTTGTCGTGTTGTTTACGTTCACTTCTCGGCCATATTTCTTTTCTCCGGAAACTAGGGGAAATATTCTTTGTGGCTTGCAGCTATTGGAATGCTCTCATAAAAAAGAACATGAAATGGAAAAATGTAAGATATTTATAAAGATTTTTCTTTAAAACTTATTGAATTTAAAATTGAAAACTTCAAAAATAATTATGGAACTAGAGTAAATAAAATCATTACCATTAAAAGCATTTAGTGTTTTCAGATTTAAAAATTTGGTTTTTATACAAAGAATTTAAATCCTTGAAACACATAATTCCTGTTTTCTGGCAAAGTCCCTTTTATGGCCTAAACATTTTCGGTTAGAGTAATGGAGTAACTTGCCCCACAATGACCCCCTCAGCTTTCTGCACTTAAAGTCAAAACATGCAGGACACATTTTGATGCGCTTCCAGATCGCGGCGTTCTTGCAACTTTATCGTGCCAGAAATTGCATCATATTTCACAGACCTCAGCGTGACAACAAAATATATACATATATACTAGTACTTGCAGAGTGTGGATAAAATAAAGAAAAAACAAAAAATGTTGGAACAAAGTTCAGGAAAGGTAACTTTGCTTACCTGGGCACCGTGAGGGGCCAACTAAGATGTCTGTCAGCTCAAAGGAGCAAGGGAAAAAAGTTGTCAAAAGTTTCGCGCCACACGTCGTATGAGTAATGTCAGAGAAAAGTCACAAGATGCTTTAAGAAACGCTCGATTTATTAAAAGATGCCCCAAGGGTGGGGGAAATCGTTTCATTATAATTTACAATCATGCTCGTTCGCCATCAGAGCGCAATCTTTGGCATAATTTTGAAAATCCTGAGATAAACTTTGAGCATGCACATAATTAATGAAAGACCGAATGTCGTCTTCAAGAGAGTGTGCAGGAGGAGCATCCTGGGCCAGTCCAGTTACAGATGCATCAAGGAGCATCAAGGAGCAGCATGCAAAAGGGAGTAAACAAAGTGTAATTAAAAACTACTTAGCGAAGGAGGGCTCTCCAGCCGAGCCGGTCTCTTCACCCAGCCCAGTTCTGGTCCCGAAAACCTGGAGTCAGACTCACCTGCGATAAATAGTTTTGCGCTGCTGTAATTTATTATCGTTAGCGCTATCCTTGAAGAAGTAGCGCCTGATGCCACTGAGGTACGAACGGAAATATTCGCTCCAATTAATCGTGGCAATGTTGAACTGCAGCACCCGACGCTCCTCGCGCGGCAGCAGCTCGTTCAATTCGTCAATGTTGCGATGGGCGAACTTCCACTCCTTGAGGCCGAACCAAGCCATCATGTCGATTATGCGAGAGATTTTCCCATAAGCCTTCACATATCTGTACACAGGACGAAATTGGGGTTATTATTAAAAATAAACTACCTATTCAAGCAGAGATATAAACTGGTTTGGAGGCACGTGTATGAATGATTTATAAACCTGGTGTCTTTTCATCAATGAATCTCAACATTTTGCAGCTAATGCGCTTTAATTGGAAGCTGTTAAGTATGCCATACGAGGTTGCAACTAAAGAGCTTTGCCAGCTAACTAAGAGCTAATCAACGACTAGGTAATGCTCTGTATTATACGCATTCAGTTTTTGTAAAATATGATATTAATTATCATGTATGCCTTTATTTGATATGGAGTTACGATATATTTAAGTTTCAGATATACGCCCGGAAAACCAACCCTCTACTTAAACATTAACCCCCTATAAAATACCCTAAAAATGGTCATTCAATTGCCTTTCCATGTACCATTTAAAATCCATTCAATGTAGCTTACCCCCGAAAACCACACACTACTTCGATGTCCCTGCCACCTTGGAGGACATATTCTCAATGGGAAGAGGGAGGGGGCGGGGCAGTGAGGTAGTGGGGCAACAGGATACTTACATGCGCTTTTGTCCGGTGACCATGGCAATTAAATCTAAAATATAAGCTGGGATATTGTGCAAGAAAAATGCAATTGCACAATGCAGAGGCTTCGATGGTATTATAACGTACGAGAAGCACCTGTGACAATAATGCGGTCGATCGAAAGGTGTGTGTGTGTTTGGGGATGGGGGTGTCCGATGCATGTCCGAGGGGGGTCCAGGATATATGGCGATTCCAACGATTCCGTGTGGCATTTGGGTTCGATTTGGTTTAGTTGGAAATCCCCATACCGGTTTTTGTATTTTCAGTTTGTGTATATTGGTTGCTCGGTTTCGGTTTTGCGTTGTTTAAGCCCAGTTTTATTTATTCCGTTTTTGTTTTTTGTTCAGAGAGCAGGTTCAGGTTCAGGTTTCGTTTCGATTCAATTCGATTCGTTGTTTCAAGGTATTAGCAGAGAACATAGATAAATTTACCATTCCATTCGCAAAAATTCGGCAATATTTAATCAAGGGATTAGACATGCACGGAATATGCCAGCCATTCATATATCGTATTTTTTTTTGTTTGTTTGGTGGAAGTAAAAATTCAATAAAAATAGTATTTATTTTATATCGAATATGTTAGCAACGTTTCACAGTGTTTGCGGGCTTAACTCACCAGAGTGCCTTGTCGAAGGGCTCGTGAAATCCTTTGCGCGACAGACGCATGTACTCGCCCCAGGTTATGTTGTTCACCTCCGAAACGTAGTTGTAAACGGGCAGCTCTGATTTTCCATCAATCTGACATTCCCGGAGCTTAAATCTGAAAAAGTGGATTATTAGGATGAAAGGAGTAATCTATTTAAAGTCTTAATTTATGTAATTGAAAGGAAAATGGTGCGATATATCTAAAACCACTGGCTGGTTCATCTTACTTCCATTCGCTTTTGCAACTCCCTCGGTATCATCGCCAGGCACCTTTGGCTTTCTTAATTTTCCAGTTTTTGTATTTACCAATTTTCCGCTTCTTTCTGCTGTTGGCCAACAACCAAACGCTATCAGCTTGCGGTGCAACTCTTTTACAACTTTTACACATCCTCCGGCACCGCTTCGGCACCGTCAGGATCTGCCTCAGAATGTGTGCTTGTGCTGTGTACTTGTGTGCTACTGGTGTGCCGTTGGTATGCTGGGTAAGGACTAACCTTCGGGATATGTCCCAGGCGGTTGCTATCATGGCATTCACCACATAATCGGCGGGCACCATGTTCGCCTTGCAGCTGGCCTTCCCGTAAATGCAACGGACGAGTCCCCGGGCAGACCAAGTGCATAAACCTGATGGCCCGTACAAATTATCAGTCCAGCCGGGAAATGGATCCTTGTACGTTGACATTACTGCGAATAAATAAGAATTAATGGCTGCTTTGTTCGCCCCGGCATCCTCGAGAATGGGCAGACGGTGGGGGAATCCTTGTTGATTTTAGCCAGCGTCAAAGCGATAATGGTTGCGACCGGTCGGTCCACCAGAAACCCACAATCCCAGCCCCAACTTTCCACCCCCGTTCACTATTCCACTCCGCCCAAAGCCCGGCTCCCTCCTCCCATGTCTTTCCATTCCATTTGCTATTTGCTAACTGATATGCCAGGCTCCCAATTGCAAGTTTTGGTTGTGATTTTTTGAAAACTATACTCTATACAAAGGGATTAGGTGGAGTGATTAGAAAGCCTTTAAATTTTAAAATTTTTCAACAAAAGGGTCTTTAATAATTGTGCTTTAATAGACCCTATTAGTAATAAATTTGTTATAAAAATTTATATATTTTTAAGAGCATTAAATTTGCAACAAGCCGATCTAAAAATTCTTCCATTGCCATTCTCGTTTGGAAAGGCAGCTTAGGATGCAGCTGCATGAGGAGGATGCTTTGGCATTTTTGTGTTAAAATAAATGAAAATTTGTTTGTGCTTTGTTCCTCGAGAGCTTCGAGAGCAGCTCCACCTCCACCCCTGAGCCAGACGGGAAAACCAAGTCAGCCATGCTTCTGACTTTTTGTTACGTTTCGTTCGTTACGTTACGTTGCGTTTCGTTGCCATCACAAACAAGAAACCAAATACCTCCCCTCCTTCCCAAAAAAAAACAAAAAAAAAAACAGAAACTGAAAATATAAAAACTTTTTCCACATGCATTTATCTGGTAAACCCAAAGTCTCCTTCACCCTCTAGTATACCCGGCCAGGAAAGACAACTGTGTTGGCTATTTTTCACTAAATTTTAAATATTCCTTTTTCTTCGTAGTTGGTTTCTTTCTGGGGATCCTCCGGGGGATCTATCTGTGGCAGAGTTGAAAATGTTTTCGTTTGTTTACATTGTGTACCTGCCCCTGGGTATTTGTGCTAATTATCTGACAATTAGTTTGTTAAGTCAAGTCTGAAAGGGCAATAAATATCCCATATTCCCACCCATTCCACTCCCCAGTCACCTATGGGCGGCCGGAAGATGCCAGCCGGCATGTGAAAGGCTCGATGATTCACCAGATTCTCGGCACATTTCTTGGTCATCGTGTAGGTATTGGGCATTTGGCCTATAAGGCAATGTCGCATCTTCTCCAAGGTTTCGTCATCAAAGGTGCGATAGATCTAAAGATTAAATTTAAATTAAATAAGGACTTATATCTTAAGGTAAGTTTTTATGAGAGATCCAAGATACTCCTAAGGGTATCAACTTAAAACAAAAACCATAAATATTTATTTATTTTTTATATTAAATAAATTTATCATTTAAGTTTCATATCTCATCTTCTGTCCCTTTGTCTCTCTGATTTATTTTATTGATGTTTCACTTTTTTATGAAAACGCATTACCTACCTGCATGATTTTTTCGTAGCCAATTTCGTTCTCGTACACTTGTTCCTTGATAAATTCGCGATTGCAGTTGCAGTATAGTGTTGAAATGTGTACGAAGGACTGTGCCCCGCGGAGTGGCAAGCGGCATTGCAGCATGCAGCATGCGGCGAACGAGCATTGCGGAAAAACACGCATGTCGAATGTTGATTGAATTGTGTTGCAAATTGTTTGCCCGCCAACGCCGTAAAATATGCAACAACCAAATAAGTCGGTTGGGAAAAAACGAGATTGGTCCAAAATGGAAAAGTACATTCGTAAATATTACAATTCATACTCAAATATTTTTGCAAGCCATTCAGACATGGAAATTATGTATTTTGGTTACTTAAACGCGCGATATGCAAATATTTTACTTTGGCATTTCGCATTGTTTATTTTTACTAATGGAAGTGTGGCTGATAGTGTGATTGGGATGTCCATTTAAATTAAGACTTTAAGAGCTTACCTTTAATTGCTTCATTTCCATGGCCAGATCGAGTATCTTCTTGGTGCCAAGGACGTTGATGTCTATGGCGTCGCTGAGCTTCTCATTGAACTTCACCGATGCCACCACATTAAAGACAATCTGCAGGAGCCACGGATTGTAATGCATATTAAAAGTCAAAAAAAACACAAAGCCAAAAAAGCAGCTCATGCAAAATGCACATGAGATGCGCATACAAAGCAGCACATGGGCCAGATGGGGCATATGGGGCAGCTGTTGAAGAGATCTGTATGGCTTGGTGGCTCAAATGCTTGGCCTGCGTTCAACGATAACCTCAAAGTCAGCACACAAAATCCAGAAAAAGAAGCTTTAGGAGCAGTGCCAGGACGCATGCATTGAACATCGACAACAAAGCAATTTCAGCTTAAAACAGTGCCAGCGGAGGACTTCTCTAAACAGAACAGAACCGAACAGAACAGGACCAGGCAGTGGCAGGAAGACCAGGCCGTCGACGGAGTGACTTGTATGCAAAATGTTTTCCCCAAACACTGGGCACTGGGAGCGAGAGGAAAAATAAAAACGACCAACGGATGCGGACGCGGATCCGGATGAGGATGAGGATGCGGAAGTGCCCGGATGGCAGGACAATGGCTCGCGCATGCCAAGCACTTGAAGCATGCACAGGAATTTTCATTTATTTATATATTGTGTTTTATAACCAACAGCAACCAGCAGTAGCAACACCACCAGAAGCTTCAGCAGAAGTGGCAACAACCACAGGAGCAGCCGTTCGGCCAGGATGCAGCTCTACACATTTTCACAGTTTTACGTGGCGGCGGCGAGTTTTCAATTTTTGTTGAACAAAAAAAAAGGGAAAAACAGGTTCAATATATATATATGCATACATATCGTATGCCTCTTGTGATCAGCAAAACAAAACAAAAAGTAGAAAAATACAAAATAGAGCGAGAAACGAAAGAAATAAACTGACTGGCTGACTGGTGTTGTCGTAAACATTGCGCCTGCCTTTGGCATGCAACGTTCTACGTATACGTAATGTGCAAGCCAGATAGGGGAGGAAGGTGGAGGGTAGCATAGAGATAAAGAGAAGGTAACCAGATACACTTCCAAAAAGGGTCTACAAATTGTATCAATAAAAAAACTGACAAAAAATAGTCTTAAAGATTTCAAACTCATAAAGATGATTCCTAAACTCCAGCTCTTTCTTTCTTAAATTTGAAAAAATATAAACCCTTTTTAAACCTCTTTTCTCGCAGTGTAACTATATACAAACTGACAGGAATCGGGGGAGCCATCCAGATAGGCAAACACAACAAAAGCCCATGAAAAGTTTCTCACACAAAAAGACCATTGATTGAATTGCCAACGGAGTCGGGTTTGAGGTGCAACAAGGGTATGGGCGGCAAAGGAAGCAGGCAGTAGGTAGGTAGGCAGGACAGGACCAAATCGAGGCAGAACATCAACAAAACTTACTCACCTGGACCTCAGACGAGAGCATTGCTCGGTCGGCGGCATCAATGTCCAGGTCGATGGCACTGTAATCAGCGCGTATCGGATGCACCTTCTCCAACAATTGCGGCGACTCGTCGCGCATTCTATTGAATATCTGTTGGAAGGCACGAGAGATGGTCGAGATGGGTGACTTTCAGTTGGTGATAGTGGTAGGGGTGATGGTGTTTCCAACATTTTTATCCAGCATTGTCCTTGTCTGCGGGCCCCCAGCATTGACAGGCTGCCACTTCCTCCCGCATCCTGGACTGCTGCTGCTACATTGCTACTGCTACTCTATGGCTGACACTTACCGATTCATTGAAAAAGCCCTGCAAACGCTCCTGTATGCTCATGTTGTCCTTGCTGCGTATCAGCATGTAAATTTTACGCAATCCAAACGAGCGTAGCAATTTCTCTGTTAACACTTTGCCCACGAATCCCGTTCCGCCCGTAATGAGTACGGTGGCGTTGCTATAGAAATCCGTAACCGGAGTGGCACTCACACAGTGGGCCAGCCCAGTGGGTAGGGATCCGGGACTTCCATCGATGCTGTTTGTCCTCGTACTGGAGGCTGCCTCCTGAAAGAGCTGCTCCTCCTGGTCGTCCTCTTCCTGGTGAGCACTGGCCGTGGCAGGATCATTGCTGCTGCGACGCGAAGAGCTCGTTGATGAAAAAGCCTTTTTGGAAGCTAATTTGACCATTAATGAAGAATTTTAAATTAGTTTTAAGGATTAGGAATGCTTTATTAATTTTTGAAATAATTTAAGAATATTTTAAGTAAATGATTCAATATTTATTTAATAATTTAAAGGCCTTTCCAATCCGATAAAAATTTAAAAAATCAATACATTCCTAATAATAGTCACAGAAGATGTATATTTTTAGAATCAATTTCAAACAAACTGTACTTTAAATTGGTACTATTCTTTTAGTTTTATGTTGAATATATATTTCGTACAGTTCATAGTATATATATTAAGCCAATAGGCCTTCTTACTTTTAGGAGAATTAGCTTCGTGCATTTTTCTTAAAGCCACACAAAAAAAAATCCAACCGTTCACTTCAAGGGTACAATGTACATTGACAAGTTTTCAATTTAAAAGTGGTTAAAAGTTGGATTTTAATCAATAAATGCCACTCATATATCGTAAGGATTTTCCCACCGTATGTCAATTATATAAATATGAGCCATTCTAACCCAATTATTCCATGTCGATTTGCGTGTGCACTCTTTTTTCAATATAGTCGTCTATATAGACGTGTGTATGTAGTGGTCTGGCTGACATTGCGGTTGCATTTGACCTGATGACCTGCCCGCCGGATGTCTGGCGTAACATCACGGAAGGTACACGGAAGGGAGAGGGGAAATCTGTGTCTGTCTCTGTCACCCGTTCAGGCTCGATGGCGTCCGCTTGTTGAGCCATTTTAAACAATGTTAATTATTCAATTATCAACAGCCAATGCGGCTGCCATTTGACCATGTGTCCTTCTAACTTGGTTTAAGCCAGAATGTGTGTCGACATGTTTCCATATGTCTACTTGTGTGTGTGTGTGTTACCATATTCCGCACTGCCACAGTTGGTACTTCCCTCGCATCGCGTGTCTCCCCCCATCCATCCATGGGACAGCATATGTTGTTTGATTGCAGACGAAAAATGAGGTGCAAGTGCCGCACAGGCACACAGACACCCATCCATACACACAGAGAAATACTAATGCCCCATTGCGTGACACAGTTGTGGTTGTTGTTGCAGCCGTCATATATATATTTTTGTTGGCAATTGTCATCGGCCACATGACCAGTCTGTCTTTGTTTGCATTTGGCAGTGGGGTGGGCTTTGGGGGTAGCTTGTGTTGCAGGACTGATTATGCCACACCATATTTTAAAGGGCTTAAATTTTAATTATTTACAGGAAAGTAAATAAAGGGAAGTCATCAACAAAATTAAACCACAATATCGATAGGCTTATGGTTGCATTTTAAAAAGTAACTGGCATTTTATTTATCTAATAATTGGTCTATCTTTTTAGAATTATAAGCAAAAATCATCTTTTAAAAAAGATAAAGCTACTTAAAGCTTATCCCTAAGATATTCCCAATTCACCGCCCAAGAAAACGCTACCAAAAAATCCATCACCCACCAAGGGTTAAAGCTTTTTGAAGTCTACGCAACCCACAGGAAAGCTTTTTCGACCATCTTGGGCTTTCGATTGGCCGTTTCCGGTTCGCGTCTCGGCTAAGCCTCAAACGGTTCAAGCTTCCTCTACTTGAGTAAAATGTCTTAAAATATTTAAGTAGATCTAGCTGTAAAGATAAAGAAAAATACTGAAACCAGCAAACTAAAAGCTTACCATGGGAGTTTATTCAAAGTGCCGCCAAATGAAGCGGAAATGGCAGGCCATTTTTGTTTTTATTATGCAATTTATGACAATGCATAACGCATTTTAATTGTCCTGGAATGTAATTTAAACAAAAATGCTCGTATATTGCATCAGTTTGTGCTTAATGACTCGAAAAGTTTATTCGTTTTCATTTGGTAATTTAATACAATAATAATTACATTAATTAGCCTTTCAGATTTTTTGTTTTCCTTTTTTTATGACAAATATTGTACATTTCATTAGCATACATACTACTTTGTATGTGTGCCGTGGTTTTAATACATAATCGGATTTTCATTTAACAACTATCTCAATAATTTAATGTAATGCTACTTAATTGATTTCAGGTGCTTATTGTAATACTTATTCCGAGTTTGATTTGGTGAATTTTGGCTTTGAAAGAACGACAAACAAATGGTATTGTGCTTTAAGGAACGCATCTCGAAGTTACAATATATTTAGCAATTATAATACTGTACATGGCTCACGACCAGCATTCACACCCAATCAATACAAATCCTTCGAGTCCTGCGACTCGAACGCCCATCCATCATCGAGGGGACTTGCCATCACAATTCATTAAGACGAAATCACAGAGCTAACTTAAATCACTCTATATTATTATTTTCCCTTTTAGTTTGATTATAGAGGCTGCCAGAGGGATTTCCCAATCGAAGCAGTACCTGGTGGGGGCAAGTGGACCCGGGAAACTTCACTGAGGATGCAGGTACCGTCGCACTCCGTCTGGCTGCCAAACTCCTGCTCGCAGATGCAACTGGAGCTCTCCCTGCTGAGCAGGGCCAATTGGACTCCCGTGGCGCTGCTGACCGCTATCTCCTCGCTGGGCGGCGTCGTCGATGGCATTTCCATGAGGGCCATATCATCTTCGCATTCGATGACGTTCGGATGAAGGGGCTTAAAGTTGTTCCGGCGCCACGGTGCCATCGCGGTTCCCTGCCCATGAAAACCTGTGCCCGAATTCAGGGCTGCAAAGGTAACCACACTTTGGTGGTGATGCTGCCCGTGGCCATTGTTCTGGCTGCCGTTAAATACACCACTCGTCGCACTACCGTTATTGCCAGCAAGGCCATTCGGCGGCAAGTGCAGGCCGTTTTTGCCGTTGTTAATGCCACCGCGACCTGGCCCAAAAAGATTACTCCGAATCCGCATCGAGGAGTTGGCGTAGGTCGACCTTATGGAGGTGGCACGCGTGTGCATCGAGAAGGTCCTTTCGTGGGCATCCAGGCTTGTTTGGAACTTGCAGAAGCAGGCGGCGAAGCGTTTATTAAATTCACGCTTAAACTTTTCCTGCACAGATAGAAAAAATTCAATATTTAGTAAGTGATTCAATATTTTTAGAGGCTTTCGTTTATAAAGTGGAGAGCTATTTCCATTCCAAGAACATTTTGAAGAGCCTCTGTAAGCCCACTTATTTTTCTCACTGTTACATCCTACTTGGCTAAAATCGAACTTTCAGTCTTCTTTTGGGTTAATTAAAAAAGTATATTGGTGGGGCAACAAATTTCCAGGAAAAAACAAAAGCAAAACCTGCCTTAAGCGAAGGCATCTGTTTTTAGACTAATGAATGTGCCCCCCTAGCACCTCCAAGACCAGGACCTCCCACTCAGCCATAAGCAAATGCCATTTGTCTCTGCTGACAGTAAAATAGAATATTTGTTGACAAAGTTTTCACGCACACCCCCAAGGAAAAGTTTACGAGCCTCGCAGATCTCCGGCTCTCAATCTATCTTTTACAGACAATTTAAGTGTCAAAGAAAACAGCCTTTGGGGTTTTTTTCCTTCGATTTTCACAATTCGCCGCTTTGACATAGCCAAGATTTTTGTGGATTTGGCTAAAATTTGCGGCTTGCCAGTTCTTGCGGCTCAGACAGTAGGTGTTTGCTCATTGGCTACAGTGGAACGTTGCTTTAATTAACTTTGACAAAGTTTCGTTCTATTTGTGTCAGCGATTTTCGAGTGGAACATTTTCTGCCGAGTAAGATGTAATTTATTTTTAGATGAAAGCGCCGCGGATGCTTATAAATCATAAGGAAAAAATATTTAAAAAAAGCTGGGAAATAAATCGATTGATGGGAAGCTAAAAGTGAAATGAAGTGAAATGAGTTATTGGTATTTCTTGCCTTTCAATTTATGAGCTTATTAATTTTTTGATAAAAGTCCAATAGGGTATGCTTTTATCTACAACTTGAAGGACTTTATCAAGGAAACTTTAAGGACCTTCTCTATATTAAGCTGCAACACTTTAGATGCCACAAAACTAACCCAAAATAGCCTCGAGTCCCAAAACTATCCCCTTTTGTCCCCTAACCTTATGTTATGAAATAGTCCTGCCACAAAATGTGTCCCTTGGGGGTTAACTGGGGTAAAACGGAGAGCACCAATCAAATGTCAGACTGGGAAATGTAAATTCAACACTCCATAAACAAATCGAGCCAAATCATCATTGCCATTTGGGCCAACTTACGTTGTAGATGCCATAAATAAAGGGATTGTAACAGCTATTGCTCATGGCCAGCCAGTCGCAGCAGAACCAGACGATGCTAATGAAATGGTAGTCGTTGATTTCCGGTATCGTCACATAGAGAATATTATAGAGTTGCAGCGGCAGCCAGCAAAGGCCAAAGATAACTACCACGATGATCAGCATTTTAATGACCTGGCCGGAACAGAAAGAGAGGAAATTAAAGCGCGGCCGGATTTTCATTTTTGCAACAGGGAGAGAAAAGTTTCACCAAATGTTAGGAAATTAAAAAAGCTTATAAAATATTTAGAGTGCATTTGAAATAATTTAATAATTAGTTTTAAAAGTTTATTAATTGGTGATGGGATTTATTTTTTGAATGTAGCACAAAGTACATATATTTTTTTACACCTTTTCTAGTTAACTGCAGTTTACACACTGCCAATATTCTCACCTTTTTTTTGTTTTTTAACAGGGTTATATCCCGCGAATCCTGGGCATTGCCCGGGGCCCTCGTGCCCCACAATCGCACCGCCATTTGGATGTAGACAAAGCTGATTACACAGAAGGGAACCAGATACTGCACAAAGACCAGGGTATAGCGAAATGTTTGCAGTTGATCATCCGATAGGTTCTTGTTCATACAGAACGGTCTCGTCATATTAAAGGTCTCATTATCCTCTAAACGTTTTTTGTTTTTTTTTTGGTTTTGGATTTTGATAAATGCAAAATTTGTTTGATGAGAAGGCATCGTGCAGGCATTTAATCCTAGAAAATCGTATTGACTTACCACGAAACCTTTCGGTTAGCTCCTCTACCCGAAACGCAATAGCAAAGGGCACAGCAAACAGGAGGGCCAGCAGCCAAATACCCGCAATTATGAACTTTGATATGAACTTGGTGGGTCGTGCCCTGCATGCAAAAGTGAACGACGATTTTTAATGATTCCAGAGCTCAATCGAACGTGTTCGTAATGGGGTCTTACCTCAGTGGATTGATGATGGCCCGATGGCGATCGATGGCAATAGCGGTCAGAGTGAAAACCGAGACGTTGACACTTAGTGCCTGGACGAAGGGGCAGAAACTGCACATGAACCATGGCAAATTCCAACTCTGCAACAGGGCAGCCTGAAACTACACAGAGGGAAATGTTTGTGTTAGAAAGATCTAAGGAAAATAGTTTTTTTTTTACAAAAATATCAAGTGTTTGGTACAGAAAGTAACTCTATGTTTGATTTACAAAGTCTCTCTATTGTTGACTTTGAGCTAATTATTTTTCTCAGTGCCAAATATAAGTAGAGAGGGCGACATGTGCTTGTCAGAGCGATGTGCGATGATTAAATCAACCCAAAATGGAATCCCGCACAAGTCTAAGGCCAAATATCATTAATGGACACTGGACTGCAAACATCGAGAATCCGTGCAGAGTGTTTTGTTTGTGCCTCATGGCCCTGCAACAGTATGGTGGAAACTACAGCTTCCCCAATCTCTGTCCCATTGTTGTGGAGTTGTTTGACACTGATTTGGGGTGGCGAGTACGTGAGTGTTGCGGTTGCTGCGGACATTTGTGGCAAGCGGTAGGTAGCAGTGGCCATCACAGTGGCACAACTAAATCTCTATTTGATTGTGGTATTAAGTGCGGAGAGTAATGTCGCAGTTTTTGGTAAAATTCCAACGTCAATAGGATCCATTTCCAAGAGCTTAATTAAATTGTCCGTTTCTGTTATTTATAGTTACCATATCAAGGTCAGAATTTATTCTAGACAAGGCTTCAAATATTAAAGCAATTTAAATTATTAAAGCGTTTCCGTAGGCTCAAGCATTTCTATACAAAAGCCCATCCTTTGTGCTAGCTTGTACTAGTTTTCCTGTTTAATTAGCAACCTAAAAGTCCCCTCTAAAATGAACAAGTAAATTCAGCAGAATTTTGCACCAAAAATAGCCATGTTTCCAGATAAGCCAGGATTAATTAAACATGCTTTATGGGAGCACTAAATCCTCATCTAGTATTTTACTTTTATTTTGAAGAAGGTCGCTCTTTAAAATGTGCTAAGCACAGAGATGAAAATTCTCGGAAAATACTTTACTTAAATGAATTTACATTCCTATTATTTTATTATAATTTCAGGGTTTTTGGGGTAACCACTCCATGTAGATTTAACTTTCTAGGAAAATACAGCGCTTTGCATGGCGCCAATAACAATTGCTTATTCAAAATAAACATTTTCCGAGTATCACATAAAACTGCCGACACCAAATATGGTATGAAACGAGAGCTCAATTTAGAGACAGGGCGAGAAAATTGTTCACTTGGCTTTTAGCACTTTATTCCCAGTGGCTTATACTGAATACTAATCCCATTAACACATAAACCGAAAATCGCATTAAAATTTCAAGTAGGTAATATTCCATTACCCCAATAGCAGTGGGTGTAGGCTGTGCCAAATTTTGTAATTCCAGCTATGGAGGCGTTCAGTGTCCGGAAATTAAATTGATGCCGGATTATACCCAAACTGATGTCCCTCATTCCCTGCGGTGAGGTCTATACTTTACGTTCAATGACAAAAATAAGTGAAAACTAATGCTGATTCCAATGGTCGACCTGATTTATGCCCGTAGAGTGTCAACGGCGGCGGGCAACTAAACTCATTTGAGTCGAAATCCATTTAGCGGGTGCAACACTGCGTATACGCTACACTTATTAAATGCATTTTAAATTTGCATAAAACTAGCCTAATTACCAGTAGGAGTGCAATCAAATATAGTGGCCATAACTCACCTGAAATGGTATGCAGAATAGGCCAATAATGACGTCGGCGAGGGCCAAATTAGCGATATACATATTAGTGACCGTTCGCATTTGCCGGGTGGTGGCCACCACCCAGATGACCAGGGTGTTGCCAATGACAGCCACAATACTGATGCCGCCATAGAAAATGGACAAAAGTGCCACAATCTCAGCGGGTGCCGCATACAGGCGCTCTGGAAATAAATATAAAACATTTATGTGGGATTGCTCGATGGCAGGACTGTTCTCTTTAATAAAAAAAAGCTTTGCAATTTTTTAAACATATTATTATGCTGTTTTTCTGTCAGTGAATCTTTCCAGTCTGACAGTCGCCGATTAATTCAGGTGTCAGTTGTCACTCAGTCAGGACAGGACGGGACCGGATTGACGTTACCGAAGAGCGTTAGGCATCAAGGAAATTAAATTCCAATTGATATAAACATAGTGGTATAGATATCCACAAATCCTGTTTTTCCGGTATAAAAATTTCAAAAAATTACATTTCCGTATTCCATTCCCCTGCCAATCCTCTCATGTCTCGCATTTTATGCGAGCTTACTCACTTTCATGTCTAATCCCCAGGGTCTGAAAATAAAACTCATGAATGATGCAAGATCAAAGCACTAAAGGCGGTCTGTCAGAACGTAAAGAAACTTGTCAATATTTTGATTGATGATATATCAAGTCAAGTGTCCCCGAGTTATTCCACGAAGGGATTACAAGCCGGCTTACCGAATTCCGCCTCCTCCTCCGCTCCGGGCAGGAAGTCCACTCGCGATTCCTCCTCGATTAGCTCCATTGCCATGGCACAGTTTTGATTCTTTTTCTTGGCGATTCGGTGTATCCTAATGAGGATATAATCTCCCCCAAAGCTACACCTTAAAATTGTAGCTTGTTTCTACTGTTGTTTATGAGCCACAGTTCATCTTGTGTGGGAACATTTTCTTGAATCTTGAAGAAAAGGAAAATGAAAACCATTAAATTAAAATTGTCTGAAAATTGGATTACAAGTTTTCTGATACTTTTCAGATGGTCAGATATATCAAAAGGGCAGGAAATAATAAAGAAAATCCAAAGCTACCTCCAACGTTGGTAAACTGACTAATGGTCCAGGTGAAATCAAATGTCAGCTGTCGGATGTGAAAAGTTTGTTTTGTATAATTGAAAAATGCACCAAACTCATCTCTATTCCCTCTCATCGCCCCCAGCGCCATAAAAGTGCTTGCACTGCGTTTCGCATCAAAACCATTACTTCCCCAATAATATTTTCATGTTTTTATTGGCAAAAATATACGCCAACGTAGTATGTGGGTGGTTTCAAACAAAAAATAAACAATGTTTCATGAATGACTGAAAATCGGATGCTCAGTGTGTTTAATTGGCCATTTATCGAATGGTTAACATTGTGTCGACTCGTTAATTTATCTTCTATTGTGTAAACACTGTCAAGACTTGTTAATTTATTGAGTAAAAAAAACGGTTTTTTCATACTATATAGTCTTTTATAAAAAGTAGTTTAGCCTTCTGCTTTTTATAAATTTCGAACTTTAAAGTGAAAATGCTTTTTACCGCAAAACAAACAATAGTCCAAGGCTATAAACTCCCCACAATATGGCTAAGAATTTAAGGGGAAAGCCCTTCCGATAAAAGTATGCAAAAATTCTTCACGGGAACTTTTATGACAGGCTGGAATACATTTTTCCCAGAATAGTTTCCCAGAATTCTATGGCATCCACCCACTCCCAAATTCTTTTGGTGTATTTTTTTTGTGCCACCTAACGTATGGATAAATATTTGCCAAGGTATTATGGCCAGAACTTGATAAGAGGCAACCTTTCTTCGAAATTAGCATTTGCCGTAATCCTATTTTACTTGGGAGCTCCAAAGCCCACAATCACTCCCATTTCCTAGCTGCAGATAATGTGCCAGCTTAGGATCTAATAGGATTTTCCAAGTGAGAACTAGTGGGAGTACGATTCATTGTTCAAATTTTCAGTAAGTGGTCCGCCGATGCCACCGCCAACTCGTTCTGTCAGCGTCTTGTCAACTGAAAAGTTCAACGCTGTCAAGGCCAAAACAGAAACCAGAAAATGTGGTTAAGTTTTGAGGGGATACTATGCAAACGTAGTTGCTGCTGGCTTTTTAATAAATTACATTCTTCAGTAGGAGCTTCTATAAAGCTTCTGGCAACAAAGAGAACAAAAAATAGTCAGGATCCGATTATACTGCTTACGTTAAATGCAATTAGTCCAGCCAAGCGAAATGGCGAGATTTTCTAATTAACGTCAAAGGAGACTTTTTTTTTTATTCTGGTTTTCCATCAGTTTTGATGGTCAACTAATTGAGAGGCAAGCATTTTCGGGCCATTAAGCTTCTATTCAGTGTGTGTGTGCATGTGATTTTGGGGCGAAAATCATGCTGGCGGGAAAAGTGCTGCTATTGGTATTGCTCCTCTGGCAGATTTCCCATGAAACCCACTTGACGTTCACTCGAGAACAAAGCAACAGGGAATCCACGTCGTTCAGGTCCTAACCATTAATTTGTAAAATTTACAGACTTTTGACTCCATCGGATACACGTGTAGCTGGCTATATACATATGCCTGGTGCTAGATGTGTGTGAGTTCTGAAATTTGGGTAAAATATTTGGTTGAATAAGAAATTTTTGTTGAAGCAACGAATATTATTAAAAGTGTATCCTATTAGAGCGTCATTGGGGCGTTCAACATCAAAGTGAACATTCTTATTAGACGGCAACGGTGAGCAGCACAAAGAAGGCGGGCCACCGAATTGGCAACAATGTAGTATGAAAATGTCCCACCCACGACATGGTCCCTTTAAATAACACCAAACATTGCGCATACGACACATAAGCCAAGAGACAACAGACGCATTATGGCAAGGCTTAGGCCATCGCATTGCAAAGGCCCAAGGCGGTGGGCTTTTAATGAAAAAAATAAAAGGGAATGGCTGGGAAAAGACAACATGTCCAATAAAATCGGAAATGTGCACTGGAAAAAATATCCTAAACGAAAATCTTTACACCAATGATATACTGATGTCTAGCATTGTCCTTCTTCTATGTATTTTTTAGTCCATATCACATTTTTATTCAAAGTGTAATCTATTTATACACTTATTTCTTATTTTTTCTGAAGTTCGTGAGGTGAAGGGACAAGTAGAAGCTTAAGAATGGAGCATGTAATTTTTTTGGGCTCTGTCTCTTTGTTTACAATGCCTTCGGACTTTTGGTTCTAAGCCTGAACTTTGGGGAGGCTTGGATTTTTACGGTTTCTGGTTTGATTGCGCTTTTGGGATCCATGTATTCAGGTGTCTAGTCGTTATTTGAATAAAATATTATCTATTTCGTGATCATTGCAATTAAGATGGTTATTTTGGGAAACGTGTCAAAAAGGTGAATAGACATTCTTCCTTTTCTGTATTCTTATGCTCTTGAACTTTGTATTTTTCCTTTTTGTGTACGTAATTATTTCCCAGACAGTTTCAATTGCCTGTGAGTCCGAAATCGAAAACACTTCATCGCATTTTATTCAATTTCCAGCTTAAGGCCTCTTTGCTGGCAGGCCCCAAGGGAAAATCAATTAAAAATTCATTATATTTGATTTTGAAGGTAAATGATTTTAGAGCACTTAATACATAATTTCTACCAAAGCGAGATAAAGTGCTTTCTCCCAATCGCTGACCCAAAAGGATTGTCTGCCCCGAAAATGTAAAATTCTGTTGAAAGCACTTGAGAGGACACTTTCCAAAGGAAAAAGGCCCTGGAACATTTCCGCTGATTTGACTGTCGGCCCATCATTCAACCGGGTGGATCCTCTTTAAAGTTTTCCTCCAATGCCCTTGACTATCTCATCCAGAAGTGTCCATCAAGGGTCCATGTTAAGTGCCTGTCATTATGGTCGCAGGTCCTTTGACATTGTTTGCGTAATATCCTGGCAATTTGCGGCACTGTTTTGTTTGGCCTTTCCCCTTTTCCCCCTGCTACGAACTTGCCAAAAATTAGTCAAACCTTAAATCTTTTAAAATTAATAACACAATTAGGTTGTCAACAGCGATTGCCTTTTTGCCAGCAATGGGAGCAAGGGACTTCATTTTGACAAAACAGACAAGACCGCCCTTGAAAGTTGGCCTAGGTGTCCTGTTGCCTAGGACACGTGGCTCGTAAAAATGTGTAACAGAGATGCCAGTTAATAAAGAAGTTAATTGGGCATTCCTTTCACTTTTCTTTGTTATTTAAGGTATCGCATAAAGGTACGGTATTATGGACTTTGTTTTTAAATTAATAAACATAAACATTTTTTAATGTTGTAATGGGAATTTAAGTCCTTATTATACCAGTAGCCCGTTTCTATGGCAACGAGAAAGCTACCTTTGGATTTATATTTTTTTAAATTTGGTCTCACTTAGTAGGCCATTCCTTCAAAAAAATGTTTGGACCTCAGTGAAAATTTTTCCTGAGTTCAGTCTGCCTCCGACCGTCAACATGTGAACATCTATTTTTATTTCACAAAAAAATCATTTATTTGTTTTTCTTTTTTTATTAGTTCTTATTTATTTTTAATAATATAAGTATTATTTTTTTTATTTATTACAATTATCACTATAAGCAATGGGTTCTCAGTTTCCGTGTAAGTACGATTTGGACATCCTGCTTTCCTTATTTTCTTCGACTCTTAGCTTTTTCATCTTCCTCACTATTGGTTGCCTCATTTTTATTATAATTTTTTTTATTATTTAAAATTAATTGAATTTTCAAGAAAAGTGGAGTTTTCAATGGGCCTATAACTACCGACGTGTGAAAACGTTATTTTTATTTAATTTACTTTTTTTATTTATTTACTTATTTCATTTATTACATTTATCACAATAAGCAATCGGTTCTCAGTTTCCGTGTAAGTACGATTTGGACATCCTGCTTTCCTTATTTTCTTCGACTCTTAGCTTTTTCACCTTCCTCACTATTGGTTGCCTCTTTTTTATTATAATTTTTTTTATTATTTAAAATTAATTGAATTTTCAAGAAAAGTGGAGTTTTCAATGGGCCTATAACTACCGACGTGTGAAAACGTTATTTTTATTTAATTTACTTTTTTTATTTATTTACTTATTTTATTTATTACATTTATCACTATAAGCAATCGGTTCTCAGTTTCCGTGTAAGTACGATTTGGACATCCTGCTTTCCTTATTTTCTTCGACTCTTAGCTTTTTCATCTTCCTCACTATTGGTTTGCCTCATTTTTATTATAATTTATTTTATTATTTAAAATCAATTGCATTTTCAAGAAAAGTGGAGTTTTCAATGGGCCTATAACTACTGACGTGTGAAAACGTTATTTTTATTTAATTTACTTTTTTTATTTATTTACTTATTTCATTTATTACATTTATCACAATAAGCAATCGGTTCTCAGTTTCCGTGTAAGTACGATTTGGACATCCTGCTTTCCTTATTTTCTTCGACTCTTAGCTTTTTCACCTTCCTCACTATTGGTTGCCTCTTTTTTATTATAATTTTTTTTATTATTTAAAATTAATTGAATTTTCAAGAAAAGTGGAGTTTTCAATGGGCCTATAACTACCGACGTGTGAAAACGTTATTTTTATTTAATTTACTTTTTTATTTATTTACTTATTTCATTTATTACATTTATCACAATAAGCAATCGGTTCTCAGTTTCCGTGTAAGTACGATTTGGACATCCTGCTTTCCTTATTTTCTTCGACTCTTAGCTTTTTCATCTTCCTCACTATTGATTGCCTCATTTTTATTATAATTTTTTTTATTATTTAAAATTAATTGAATTTTCAAGAAAAGTGGAGTTTTCAATGGGCCTATAACTACCGACGTGTGAAAACGTTATTTTTATTTAATTTACTTTTTTTTATTTATTTACTTATTTCATTTA